GAGGCAAACCTGGACTGCAATACCAGTCAGGACAGAGCAAGGGCAGACACAGAAGGAATGGGTGAAGAACAAGAGATCAAGTCATTACACAAATCCCTATCCCCTAAGTGAAGTTAAAGAAGCCCCCTGTGAAAATAGGATTTTATTTAGATTTCTCCCATGACAGATACAATGAGAGCATTTCTTACATTTAACTTCAGACCTTAATAAAACAAGGGGTAATCCGAAAGCATCACAGACTCTTGCTTTGATTGAAAGCATTTATAAAGTAAATTTCTCTGCGAGTAGTAAGAGCCCATGTTTAATTTTTAAAAGTTGTAAACATAAAAGGCAATTTCTTGCTGTGAAAGGCTTATTCTCAAAACATCTAGATAAGTTGCATTTTGGAAGATATCCAGTTTGAATTCAGAATTTTAAATGAGAAATACTTTGTCTGTATACTTGCTCTTTTAAAGGTGGTCTTTAAAATAGATTTAAAAATTGTCTTTAAGACAACAGAAAGTTTGAAATTCACAAGATTGGTAGTTTAAAAATTGCAAAGCGACGTCTTGAACCATCCAAACATCAACAGGAAATGAGTTTACAACGAAAATTTCAATCACCGTGTTGCCAATTACAGTGGATTTGGCCATCATTCTACACATCTGTCAGAACATATGTTCAGTTGTGAACAAAACCCCTGCCACCCATGAACTTACTGTAGATGATCACAAGACTTAAAAGAGACATGGTTGAGATGTAACCTTTTGGCTCTATAAAAGATGTTGCCCATTCAGCTTGCATTCCTACTTCCCCACTCAAAACAGTGGTTATCTAGCCCTTCTCTTCAAATCACTTTGGTTTGTCTCTCTAAATCTATGGCAATTTATCCTTTAAAGTATTTTACGTTATCACTTCATGCTGTTCATTTAAAAACTTTGCTCTGTATTGGATAACTAAATTATATACTAAGTTTTCCACTTCAATATCCTCACTGCTTTCCTCTCTCATTACCCATCAAGTTCTCACTTTTAATGATTTCAACCTCCTTCTCAACTCTTCTACATTTCTCTTTAAAGTTTATTTCTCTCCTGTCTTTAAATCTCTCCATCTACATAAACTCTTCTATAAAGCCATCCCTTGATCCTGCTATTGCACGTGGCTTTGCTACATGTATTGGAACTATTAAATGGACAAGACAATCTGATCATTTCTTTCTATCTCTACTCATATTCCTCTTCTCAATTCCAATTATTTCTGCATACAGCTCTGGACAAAGAATGTTCCCTCAGATCACTTACTAATCTGCTTTGAAATTTTAAGTCTTTGAATCACAATTCATAATGACATTTCTGAAGCTACGAATTTGTTAAAGCAGTTTCCATAATCTTTGAAGAACCTCCTTACACACACACAGCCATGTTTTCCCAGGCATACACATCTCCACTCTCAAGTCCGAATGAGCCACATTTGAGCATCTCTGATGCACAACTGATTTAGCCATCCATCATGAGATTTGGCAGAACCACGTAAAGTATCTTCAGATCCCACTTCCCACTGCTCTCTCTCACTCACTGTCGAAAGATAATCCAATAATACAAGATAGTGCATAGCTTCTCTTCTCCAGCTCAGACAATCCTCTTCAAATCACTGTTTCCTATCACCCTCCTCTAGTAAGGGTGAGGACCTCTGATTTCCTTCCCTTCCTATAGACCACTAGGTCAAGTTTCCTTAATACTTGCCACTGCCCTTAGTCCAAAGCTTACATTTTTCTCTAGATTCTCTCTGATCTTGGCCTTGCTCTGAGCAAGCTCAGCTTGTCCGCAGGATCCCAAAAATCCTATCCTGGCCCAAATGTTAACGACAAGTTCCGTTTTTGGGACCCAAGTTGAGAAACGGTTCATGAATCCCTTTTCTCAGGTACTGTTCCAACATCTTCCTCAAATCTGACATTATTACATCTTTTGCCAAAAAATAAAAACCACTTTTGTCCCACTTCTTCCTCAAAGACTACCAGTCTGCCTCCAGTTTCCCATTCTTCAATACCACTGAACATGTTGGTGCTTCCCAAGTGCACGTCCAGCCTTCCCACAATTTCACCCATCAGGTTTCCTGCCCCAGTCAAATGAAACAACTCACGTCAAATTACATTCTTTGTGATCATGACTAAAATCTTTCCCTCCTTGTCCTCCGTGACCTATCTACAGCTTTTGATGCAATTGACCACAACATCTACAGCTCTGACTTCATGCTGCTTATTTTTAAACAATGTTTGATCCTGTACTACCAAATGATTATTTACGTTCTCAGTTCTGGGGAAGGGTGACTGGACCTGAAACATTAACTCTGATTTTTTCTTCACAGATGCTGCCAAACCTGAGTTTTTCCAGCAACTTTTGTTTTTGTTCCTGATTATTTATGAGTTTAGTCCTAGACTGGAAATCAGTATCCAGTTTAAAAAAAAAAGTACATGCCAACAAATTCAATAAAACCTGTTTCTTTCATTCTGCAGGAGCTCCAATGCTTCATTACGTGTCCTCAGAAGCTGATCTGCCTCTTCCAGTCTCACTTTGAGCACAGCCAGCTGAGAATCCTTGGCACCCAGCACCTCGTTCAGATCATCAATCTGGGAACGCAGTTCCCTACCTATCTTGTCAGACTTGGAGTTTTCTGTATTCCATTTCTCAATCTGTTTCCTGGCTTTATTTAGCTCTTAAAAACAAAAATATTTAGAAAGAAACAATTAGGCCAAAATACAGATGAGCACATCCAAACAAACAATGCTGAAAATAACTAGCAGTGCAACTAGACGCTAATGGAATGTGAATAGAACATACAGCATAGAACATAGAACAGTACAGCACAGTACAGGCCCTTCGGCCCACGATGTTGTGTCGAACTTTTACCCTAAACCTAAGTTCTATCTAACCTCCACCCCTACCTTATACTATCATCCATATGCCTATCTAATAGCCACTTAAATGCCCCTAATGAGGCTGACTCCACTACCCTCTCTGGCAATGCATTCCACGCCCCGACCACTCTCTGAGTAAAGAACTTACCTCTGACGTCTCCCCTATATCTACCTCCACTCACTTTAAAACTATGCCCCCTCATAATAGCTACCTCTACCTCCACCCTAGAAATGTGTAATACTAAGTGATATGCATATGGCCACACATCCAACATTTGTGGTTATAATTACCACAATAAATTAAGGTCTCAGTTTAATAGCATATAACACAAAATGTGGTGTGCAATATTAAAATTTATTTGTATAATGGCCATTGGTGCCATTGTGCAGTGTCATTAATTTGTCAAATATATACGTTCTACATGTTGACTGAAAAAAAAATTGGCCAAAGCCAATTATAGTGCTCATTACCATTACCCAGCAGAGTTCACTGGCTCAGCAAAGACAACAGTCCTGGTAATTACTTAGAGTCATGGAGAGTGTGTGGTAAGGGCATTTGGGCAGGAACCTAGAAGTAAGGGCTTCTGCTGGAATAAACAGGAGGACAGCTTTTAAATTTCTCTGCAGGTTTCTAGGCTGATAGCCAACACTATTTACCCTGTAGCAGGGAGGCCATTGGCAGGGCAGCAAAGATGAATGAATGGAGGAAGGAGAGAGCAAGGATGGGAGATCATGGTGTAAATCAAGGTGCAAATCATGAGGTGTGGTCTAGACATACAAGAAGGCATTCCTAGTTCATTTTGCTCATAAAGAGTGCCATCTAAGGCTTGTCTGGCCTCGGGATCTGGAAAACCTGACCAAAATTCAATAAAGAAATTCACAAAAATGGAGCACACAGCCACTTCAAAATGACCCACCCATATACAGAGTAAATTAATCACCCAGAGGGGATGGGTTGAGGGTGAACTGAAATGCTTTCCATTGTTATTTGCCTACTTTCCCCTAAATCCACCTGATAATAACTGCGTTCCTTTTAACCCACTCCAATCAAATCTAGGAACTTTACTGCATGCACGCTTCGGGCAATGTCCTGTGATATACTGATCAGCCAACTAACTTTAAAAATGGTTATCCTCCAAACATGATCCAGGTTTCTTCACATTTTAAAATAAGTGGTCGAGTAAACTGGCCTTCCTTGCTGCTTTTGGTTGCCCTTTGCTTGAATTTGAACAATCTCTCCCAGAAGAAAGCTAAGTGGTGAAATCAATTGAGTTTCCAGGGGCAAAATAATATTTCAGTTTTATATTTTTAAGCCTGCCTTTGCTTACAGTTCATTTGTGCCACACATTTGCATTAATAACAATAATGATTCATGTTCCCTTTAAGTCTGCGGGTGCACAGCAATTGAGAACATGCCATGTAAGCAACACACCTTTAAGATGCATGCATGTGATGCCAGTCTAATTCTAACGGGGTCACACAGCGCAACAAGATAGCTGCACATAAACCGAAGTTGAAGGAACCTTGATAAGAGCAGCGAAAGCATTTCCTTTTCCTGAACCTAAATTATAGACTACATTTTTTTTACAAATGCTTTGTGTAACGTGGAAAGAGAAACATGTGCCTGGAATCCTGATTATATAATCAGCACCTAAAGGGTCTGTTTGCACCCAAGCTGTGGAAGAATGTAACGAATGCAATTCTGAGAGATGAGTGCTATTATTCCTGTCATACCTTCTTGCGTTTGCTTTGATCTCTCAATCACCGAAGCCATTTCTTGGTTCAAGGAGGAAACTTCACTCCGCAGTAGCTGGTTCTCAAGCCGAAGATTCGATAGCTCAAGTGACTGACTCTCATCTTTAGCTGTTAAATTTCTGTTAGCTGTAATACTTGGTGGTTGCTCTTTTGAAGGCTCTATTTGGGCATCTTGGCTCACCCTAGAGCTTTCTGAGGCACCTGAAAATATTAAAACAATAACTATTAAATGAAAAAGAAACAGGAGAATTTATTTTACAGTTTCGGAGACTAGTTTGGTTTTTATGTTGTGTCACATAACCTCAATATCAACAGGTGTAGATAATTCAAAATTCACTGACAGTACGGTAACCTATAGTGGTCTAAAACAGATTTGAACGTTCAAACATTAAGATTAAATTTTGCAGATATCTGCTCAGCAGCTTTAGACAATGAGACTCTGAATTGGTAACTGGGGTGTGGGTGGTACTCTTCGTAGCTGACAGGTAGTATTTTTCCTGATTAATTTTAGGAATAGGAAAAAACTCTGTGCTATTTGCAGTGCTGATCACCATTTCCAATTTTCTAATCCATGCTCCTACTGGAATGAAGTTCCATGTTGGAATTGAAGTCTTGTAAAATTCTTGTAAACATTCAATTAGGAAAATAAAGAGAGTATCATCACATTCTAAAAGCATTCCACTGGGCATACATGCATGCTTTACTTTGGTCCAACAAGACCTGGCTTTTAAGAACACAAAAATAAACAGCAACTCATATGACAAAATTTAATTATAAAGTATGCATGATCAAATTTTGCAAATGATCAATGGATAGAGGATTTCTCTACCATTTCAAAACCTACAAAGCAGAAGCTGGTGGATGGGTGGGCAAGCAGGGGATTTGGCTGCTGCAGTGAATCTGTACCCATTACTTCTTTCTTCCTTTATTTTGACTTGACCCTTTTCAGGCTTCTATTCTAGAACACACATGCTAAAGCCTCTTCCTGATACCCTGACATCTTATAATTCAGTTTTGCACTATTTCACTACTCTATCTAACTGCTAGCCCAAAAGTCACACGATTCTTCTATCTTCCTATTCTTTTGCCATCAAGACAAACTTGAAATTGCCCAGAGAAGGCCCACCGCTTCCTTTGCTAGCTGTCAGCATTCTTCTGGTGTAAAACTGAGATGCCAATCATCAATTCTATACATTTCTTTCTCACGATTTTCTATTTGCTACTTTTGCTGATCTTCCTAGCCCCATGTCCGCAGGTAGCAAATTCCCACTCCTTTTCATTCCGTTCAGTTCCCATGCCATCGTAAACATGACCCTTGCTATCATCACATTGGTTGCATTGACATTTTGGCTTTCACTGAAGTTGTAAGACCATAAGATATAGGAGCAGAATTAGGCCATTTGGCCCATCAAGTCTGTTTCACATTCAATTATGGCTGATATGTATTTCTCAACCCATTCTCCTGGTAACCCTTAATACTTTTACCAATCAAGAAACTATTTCTGTCTTAAATACACTCTATAGTTTGGCCTCCACTGCACTCTGCAGCAATGACTTTCACAGACCCACCCTCTGCGTCAGAGTCATACAGCATGGAAACAGGCCCTTTGGCCCAACTCGTCCATGCCAACCAAGTTTCTTAAACTGAACTAGCCCCATTTGCCTGCTTTTGGCCCATATCCCTCTAAACTTTTCCTATCCATGTACCTGTCCAAATGCCTTTTAAAATTTGTAACTGCACCTGCCTCCACCACTTTCTCTGGCAGCTGGTTCCATGTATGCAACACCCTCTATGTGAAGAAGTTGCCCCTCAGGTCCGTTTTACATCTTTCCCCTCACCTTAAACCTATGCCCTGTAGTTTTGGACTTCCCTATCCTGGGAAAAATGACCTTGGCTATTCACCTTATCTATGCCCCTTATGATTTCATAAACCTCTATAAAGGTCATCCCTCAGCCTCCGTCGCTCCAGGGAGAAAAGTCCCAGCCTATTCTGCCTCTCCTCAAACCTTTCAGTCTCAGTAACGTCCTTGTAAATCTTTTTCGTACCCTTTCCAGTTTAATGTCCTTCCTATAGCAGGGTGATCAGAACCGTATACAGTACTCAAAATGTCTTGTTACAGCTGTAACATGACATTCCAACTCTTATGCTCTGACTGATGAAGGAATGTGTGTCAAATGCCTTCTTCATTGCCCTGTCTACCTATCACGGCATTTTCAAGGAACTATATACCTGCACCCCTAGGTCTCTCTCTGTTCAACATCACTCCCTAGAGTCTTACCATTAACTACGCGAGTTCTGCCATGGTTTGTCTTACCAAAATGCAACACCTCATATTTATCTAAATTAAACTCCATCTACCATTCCTTGGCCCAATAGCCCAGTCGATCAAAATCCTATTGTACTCCCGGAAAGCCTTCTTCACTGTCCACTATACCACAAATTTTGGTGTCATCTGCAAACTTACTGATCATGCCTCTTATATTCTCATCCAAATCATTTATACAAATGACAAACGACAGTGGACCCAACACTGATCCTTGCAGTGTACCACTGATCACAAGCTCCCAGTCTGAAAAACAACCCTTTACTATCACACTGTCTCCTGTCAAGACAATTTTGTATCCAACTGACAAGCTCTCCCTAGATCCCATGTGATCTAACCTTACCAATCAAATTTCCATGCAAAACCTTGTAAATGGCCTTGCTAAAGTCCATGTAAGAAAACATCTACCATTCTGCCTTCACCTTTCTTCTTGGTCACCTCTGCGAAAAACTCAAAGTTGAGAGAGACAGTTTCCCATACACAAAGCCATGCTGACTATCCCTAATCAGTCCTTGCCTTTCAAAATGACCTCCAAAAACCTTCCCATCATTGACATTCGGCCCACCAGTCGATAGTTCCTGGCTTTTCCTTGCAGCCCTTTTCTAGCCGAAGAAATTCCTCCTCATCTCAGTTGTAAAGGGTCGTCTCTTTGCTTTGAGGCTGTGCCCTCAGATACAAGTCTCTCCTACAAATGGAAACACCTTTTCCATGTCCACTCTATCATGGCCTCTCAGTACTCTGCAAATTTCAATCAGATCCCCCTCTCATCCTTCTAAGCTCAACTGAGTACAGGTTCACTACTCCTTACTACTTCTCACAGACAAGCTCTTCACAATCTCCTCTGGTTCCACTCCAACACCAGCACATACTTCCTTAGAAATAAGGACTAAAACTGTTCACAATATTCAAACGCAGTCTGACCAGAGCCTTATACAGCCTCAGCAGTACACCTCTTCTCTTGTATTCTCGCCCTCTTGAAATAAATCCTAACTGCTGAATGAAGCTGCATGTTAACCTTAAGAGAATCCTGTACGAGGACTCCTAAGTCCTAGCGTGTTTCAGATTTCCAAAATCTTTCCTTGTTTAGAAAATTGTCTACTTAAATGTATAACATGAATGATTGTGGTCCCATCACTGACCCTGCAAAACTTCACTACTGGCTATCATCCTGAAAAATACCCCTGTATCCCTACTGTCTGTCTTCTGCCGGTCAGCCGATCCTATTCATTCCAGTACCTTGCCCTAACACAAGAACACAAGAACTAGGAGCAGGAGTAGGCCGTCTGGCCCTTTGAGCCTGCTCTGCCATTCAATAAGATCATGGCTGATCCTTTCGTGGACTCAGATCCACTTACCCGCATTCTCACCGTATCCCTTAATTCCTTTATTGTTCAAAAAAAATCTACCTTTTTTTTTAAAAAGCATTTACTGAAGTAGCGTCAACTACTTCACTGGGCAAGGAATTCCACAGATTAACAACCCTCTGGGTGAAGAACTTCCTTCTCAGTTCAGTCCTAAATCTGCTCCCTCTAATCTTGAGGCTATGCCCTCTTGTCCTAGCTTCACCTGCTAGTGGAAACATCCTCTCTACTTCTCTTATCTATTCCCTTCATAATTTTATATGTTTCTATAAGATACCCCCTCAATCTTCTGAATTCCAATGAATATAATCCCAATCTACTCAGTCTCTCCTCATAAGGCAACCCCCTCAACTCCGGAATCAACCTAGTGAACCTCCTTTGCACCCCCTCCAGTGCCAGTACATCCTTTCTCAAGTAAGGAGACCAAAACTGCACACAGTACTCTAGGTGTGGCCTCACCAGCACTTTGTACAGCTGCAATATAACCTCTCTGCTTTTTATTTCAATCCCTTTAGCAATGAAGGACAAAATTCCATTTGCCTTCCTAATTACTTGTTGTACCTGCAGACCTACCTTCTGTGATTCATGCACAAGGACACCCAGGTCCCTCTGCATAGCAGCATGCTGCAACTTTTTACCATTCAAGTAATAATCCTTTTTACTATTACTCCTACCAAAATGTATGACTTCACATTTATTTACATTGTATTCCATCTGCCAGACCTTTGCCCACTCACTCAATGTATCTATGTTCCTCTGCAAAGTTTCACAGTCCTCTGCACACTTTGCTTTGCCACTCATCTTAGTGTCATCTGCAAACTTTGACACCCTACACGTGGTCCCCAGCTCCAAGTCATCTATATAAATTGTAAATAATTGCGGTCCCAACACCGATCCCTGAGGCACACCACTAGTCACTGACTGCCAGCTAGAATAGCACTCATTTGTCCCCACTCTTTGCTTCATGGTTCTTATTTAACAACTTTCTGTGCGGCACCTTGTCAAAGCCCTTCTGGAAATTCAAATAGATCACACCCATTAGTTCTCCTTTGTCTAACTTGTTTGTTACCTCCTCCAGAGAATTCCAACAGATTTGTTAGACATGGCTTTCCCTTGACGAAGCCATGCTGACTCTGCTCTATTTTACCATGCACTTCCAAGTATTCCGCAAGCTAACCCTTAATAATGGAGTCAAATCTTACCAACGACCAAAATCAAGCTAACTAGCCTATAATTTTCCTTGCTTCTGCATCCCTCCCTTCTTAACAGCGGTGTTACATTAACCATTTTCCAGTACTCTGGGACCTCACCAACTCCAGTGATACTTGAAAGATTTCCAATGCCACTACTAGCCCATTCCTTCAGAACTCTGGGGTATAGTCCATCTGATTTATCCACCTTCAGACCTGACAGCATCCCCAGCATCTCCTCTGTAATGATGGCCTCTAGACTCATCTCTGCCTCCGAATCTCTTGAAGTTCTAGTATGCTGTTGGTGTCTTCCACTGACAACTAATGCAAATGCCTATGCAGCTCCTCTGCCATTTCTTTTTCACCATTACTACATCTCCAGCCTCATTTTCCACTTGTCTTTAGATATCTAAAGAAAACTCTTGCAATCTCATTTCATATTACTAGCCAGCTTCCTGTCATACTTTATCTTCTCTCACTTACTGCTTTTTTGGTTATCCTCTGCTGGCTTTTAAAGGCTTTGCACTAATCTTTAACACCTTGCATATTTTTGCTTTTATCTGCGGCTGAACTTCCCTGGTCAGGCATAGTTACTGCATCCTGCCCTTGGTATGTTTCTTCTTCCATGGGATGAATTTCTGCTGTGCCTCCCAAATTACCCCCAGAAACTGCTGCCATTGCTGTTCCACCATCTTTCCTGCTAGAATTCCCTTCCAATCAACTCTGGCCAGCTCCTACCTCATTATCTTTACTCAACAGGAATACTGCTACTTCTGATTTGATCTTCTCTTTCTTAAACTGCAGGATGAATTCTATCATATTGTGGTGACTGCCCCCTAGGGGTTCCTTCACCTTCAGCTCGCTAATCAAGTCTGCCTCATCACACATCACTAAATCTGGAATCGCCTGTTCCTTAGTGGGCTCTACCACAAGCTACCCCCCAAAAAAGAAGAAACCATCTAGTAAACATTCCATGAATTCCCTTTCTTGAGATCCACTACCAACCTGATATTCCCAGTCCACTGAACCTATGGGTAGCAATAACTGGTCATTTACTGGACTCTCTTTCTGGCTGTACATCAATGACCTGGTCCCTTTGTATTGTTAGTACTCTTTTCCCCTCCCATCACCACCCTAAATCACTAGTGATGGTGGCCCTCAGTGCCAAGTTAAATATGCAATTCAAAAAATAACTATTATCAGGTTTATGAAACTGAGAAAAATCAGTCACTCCACGTACTGGGTTACTTCCAAGGTAGGTGAAACAAGCTATACAACAGCAAACATTCAGACCCTCTGAAGCACAATACCTATGACAGTCTGGCAGTCAACAGGAATTAATTTTGATAACCCCGGTTATATTGTATGTTCATAGAGTGCTACTGATGGTTAACTGAAAAAAATACATTTCAAGCATAGGGAAATTTCTGATGGATTATTAATATTTCAAACTCAAATGAATTCAAGACTGTAACCCAATCCTATATTTAGGTGAATGGCACTTGATTTTACTGACTTTTGAGATATCTGGACTCCTTCTTCCTACATAAACAAGTGCCTACTGTAAACATCCCCCTTTCTAAAGTAATCCAAAATTAATCTGTGTCTCCCACTGTCTCCTTCAAACATTTATATAACTTCCTTGTTCTAACAGTCTCAACCATTCCACTTGGCGAACCGTTGTACACTTTGCTGACTTTAATCAGGGAACTTGAAACAGCACTAATTGTTATTCTGCCAATATAAGTAGTAAATAAATGGATTAACTACACCATTCTCTTGATTACTGTTGAACAGAGGCCGCTAGTTCTAACAGTAAACAGCAAGAACGATACCCAAACCACGGGTGGCACAGTGGCTCAGTGGTTAGCACTGCTGCCTCACAATGCCAGGGACGATTCCACCCTCAGGTGACTGTCTGTGTGGAGTTTGCATGTTCTCCATGTGTCTGCGTGGGTTTCCGCCGGGTGCTCCGGTTTCCTTCCACAGTCCAAAGATGCACAGGTTAGGTGGATTGGCCATGCTAAATTGCCCATACTGTGCAGAGATATGTAAATTAGGTGGATTAGCCATTGGAAATGCAGGGTGATAGGGAAAGGGTAGGGGGATTGGTCTGGGTGGGATGCTCTTTGGAGGGGCGGTGTGGACTTGTTGGGCCGATTGGCCTGTTTCCACACTGTAGGGATTCCATGATTCTTAATGGAAATTATGTGCAAAGATCCTTAGACAATGGACAAAATAGATATATAAAGGATTTTTGCTCAGTAATATATCCTGCTTTTTTCTGAACTTCAAGTGACCTAAATTATTGGTCAGAGTTTGTTGATCCATAGTACTTTATATGATTAGAAGAGCAAGACACATGATGGAGAGGTGAAAATGGGACAAAGCAATCAGCTACAGCACTCGGGCTTGACTGGAAATACATTTATAACTTTTGCCTCTTTCCAAGAGAAGGAGAAAGAAAATTAAAATAGAATTAGCAGCTGCAGTCTTTTGTCTCTGATGCTGATGAATCAACCAGAAGTGCAAAGCCAAAGGATCTTTTCAAACAAGTGCCATTTCAATTTAATTCATTACTTCTACACATTTAGGCAAGCTTTTTTAAAAAGCCAACTGGCCGAGGAATGTTGCGATATACCTCTTCAGCAGGTGGGACTCAAATCCCAGTGATATGGACACTATCACTGCATCACAAGAGCCCTTATACATTTAGGCAATGGAAAGTTTTCTACTTGCATTATCTACAAATACCCACACAGCTTAGGCAGAGAGACAGGAACACTTTGCTTCTTTAAGTTTTAACCACGCTTTTCATCACACCTGCCTTCCTTTCTCATATCAGCCATCTTGATGGTTTCAGAGTCAGATAACAACTTGTGTAGTTTTATGCTCTTCAAAGTTGTAATAGGTTGAGACTGTCTGAACTAATTTATGTAAATATCTATTCAACTAAACACAAGAAACTTTGACACTTTGTACTGAAGTTGAATGCAGAAAAATGCAACATGCAAACTGTACGCACCATCCAGGTTACTTACCCACACTGAATGTGATTTCCTAATTTTGAAATTTGGAAAAATAGCATTTAAATTACAGTATCATTGACAAGAAAGCCAAACATTTCGCATGTTCAGAACAATACCTATGTGCAAAAAAATACAAGTTACTGGTAAAGATAAACATAAGATTTATTTTTATTGAAGCTGTTTCATACCAAGTCTGCCAGTAGAGTCATCCTTGACAGTGCTTGCTTCTATTGGCTTCATGTTAATGGTGCAAGTGGATGCTGAACTGAGACTGGAAGTTCGGGAATGACCTTTTGGTGTGGAAGGCTTTGATATCTCCCGTTTGTTGTCGGTTCTGCCATTTAATGATTTTTCTGAACTGTTTAAGAAATCAAAGAGTTGGTCATCATCTGGTTCAGTCTTTTTTGGTCTGACAAACTGTGTTGAGGGTCTGCTATGAGACGAGCTTGCAGTTGCACTGGCTGTAGCTTCAAAGGTCCGTGATGAAGAGGATGCATTCGAAGCTCCAGCAAGGAGGGTGGCCTTTTGTCTCTTAATGTTACCAGCAGCAGAAGAGACGTAACTAATACTAGGGTGAGCTTGGTGATCAGATTTACTACTCGGCTCATTCAAGGTAGAGTACTGATTGGAAGATCCAGCTTCATTGCTGAATGTTTGTGTTGTAGTCACATTTTCAATAGGAGTAGTTAACAATGCTGCTGCTGCCCCCTGGTCCACTTTATTCAAGAAGTCTTCTGCCTTCCCTGCAAGCTCAACCAACCATGACATCCTGAACTACTGGTATAACAGCTGAAGGAAGTATTACAACATGACCTATTCAGAAAAGAGCAAAAAAGCAATTACTTCAAATACCCGGAGTACATATGCAATAAATGGTTAACAGAAACAAATCAAAACAAACAATCGATAGATGAGTAGTCAGTTTACAAAGTGCAGAACACTACATGCCAATTTTCTCAAACCATCCAAACTGCTGAACTATGAGCAGTGTGCTGACACTTGCAGTATAAAATCAATACAAAATAAAACTAAATTATAAAGGACTAACTAAACAATGATTATGGTATAAATGTGATTGGTCTCATGGGAAAAGGGTATATTAATCTGATCCATTCACTCCAATGGTGAAACTTGCGAGAATGTAACACTGAATTCTACTGGACAATGCCTAAAATGAAATACAGATATACACAAGTGCTAAGGCTGCAATTCTTACCACTGTTTGTACTTTTCTAAGTCACATTGTTCTTTAGCAGCACAAAGTAGTTCACACCAGTTATTCTTTTCGGAATGATACTTCACAGTATGCATGCCCCATAAATAGGCAATGAGATTAATAGTTAATTTGTTTCTTTTTATGATAATATTTGAGGAACAGGACAATGCAGCATCATGGAATTTTTACCATTCATCCAAATGGTCTGATGCACCTCAGTTTAATATGACTTGAAGAACGGCAAATAGCAAGACCAAATATGGTCTCTGTTTGAATCAATAGCCTTCAAAAGTCAATAGCAAAATTCAGCAGGTCTGGCAGCCTTTGTAGGACTAAAGCAGAGTAGTATTTTAAGTCTGGTGACTCTTCATCAGAACTGTTCTGATGAGTCCCCAGACTCCAAATGTTCACTCTGATTTTACCCCCGGCAGATGCCATCAGTACTGCTGAGTTTTGCCAGCAATTTCTGCTTTTCTTTCAGATGTCCAGTATCTGCCGTTCTTTATTTTGTTATAACAGAACAGCAGAATGTGGTTATAAACTGAGTCCATGAACACAGATAGGGCAGCATTCATATTTTATTCAGGTGAAGAGTTTTCTTATGTGTAAATCACAACTTTAACAATTCCTTTTAATCAAAGATTAACAAAGTTTGCACATTGTCTGTGCACGACACATTTGATTCTTTTATTCAATGGCAACCCTAAATGCTGCTGGTGGTAAATGCGGTGACAAGAATGTCATTGACCAATGGGAACTGGTTAGTCTCTCTGGTGGAGATAGTAATGAGCTGGTACTTGTCAGCCACAAGTTACTTTATCATAATATGCATTCAACACTTGCAGGAAAGTGACTGATGAAACAGGAGGCAGGCAGGTCCAGGATATTGCCCGAAGGAACTTCTGCACCAGTGTCCTCAGGCCAAGACACATTCCTATGCAGTTTAAGGTTGCTAGCCACTGGAAAGCCTGTTACCTCAAGACCCCAATGGTGCAATTTTAGTCAGGCTCTTTGAAACCACACTGTTTCCATGCAGGTGTGGTCAGTTACCGTACATCCTGCCACGTTTAATCCTGCAGGTAGTTTGTTTACATTGAGGATATTGTAAACAAACCACCTTGAAACAGGTAGAAGGCATATCGAACAACAGAGCTATAACAGAGATCTCAGACGGTGTACTCTTGGCTAGAATACTTTCGAACATAACGACCAACAAAAGGGCAAATTCACATAAAGTGTGGGGGGAAAAAATAAAGACGGTCGACCCGACCAAATCTTTGAATACAAATCAAACAAAGTTCAGCGTGTATAAAACCAGGACGTCGTTGGAAAATGAGACACTCATTGCAGACCAGCAGAAACAGAGACTACCACCACCACCCTGCGGTCCAGAAAGGGGGGCAAGCCCGGGGCTTCCACTGAGGCCCAAAGCTGTCAGGGAGCCGAAGAGCAGGCCTTGTGCCCCGATGGAGATCACAACCACCCCCACCGAATTCAACACTCACCCGCTGACCAACAGCGGAGCCACCACCTCCCCCTAGGGCCGGGGAAGGAATCGGGCTGTCCTGGTGTAACTGTCCACCCGGGGATCCCAGTCCCACAGCCGCCCCTCCTCGATGGAGACGTGGAGCTAGAGGACCCCAGGCACGGGGCTGTCCGCCTCAGCCGCCTGACAGAAAACACAGGAGACGTACCAGCGTGATGACGTACATCACATCTTATGTAACTGGGCGCACGGAGAGCAGGATTGATTGAGCGCCGCAGGGTCCTAGCTTCCCACTTCCCAGTCTTCTGAAAGACCTGTTCTTCCAGTCTAGTTTAATGCTATTTCTTTTTAAAGAGACAAGTTAAAAACTGCCTTGTGAATTATTGAAGTAGTAGGCTTCAACCAGCTGGAAGAGTAGCCCAAGGTCTCTGTGCTGCACAATGAAAGACTCCATGTCTTTTATGATCTCAGGACTTCCCAAACTCCTTGACAGATAGTATTGTATTCACTTGGAATGTTGGAAATATCAATTAGATTAGAAGTTTGATTAAGCTAGTCCTCTTGATTGGCTGTGAGGTGTTGGCCTTCCACTCCATCCTCCTGGCTTGCAGGGTGTTGTTTATTGCTGAGCTCAATAGCATTTCCTCCCCATTCTCTGTCTGAAGTAATATCAGAGCTGTGGGCTCAAGCAGCAGATCGTGGCTTATGGCTGGTGTGGAGAAGGTGGTGGATTTTATCAGGGAGAGAATGTGAAATATGATGGCTGTTCTGGTCCAGATAGAGAAGCAGGACCCCCTGGACAGGCAGTCGGTATTAGTGAGACAAGCAGGTGAGAAAAGGATCATTTGGCATGCAATTAGAGACACAGCTAGATTCATTGGACTTGATTACAATTGGTGCTTGGTCCATTATAGAAAAAGGAACTAGCTGTTTGGCAAGTCTTTGGTTAGTGGTTAAGGTCTTTTCTTAAATTTACACATAATGCACAATTTGATGGAAAATAATAAATACATAAAAAGGAACATAAAATAAGTGAATGTATTATATGATACTTTCAGAAGTTATTAAGGATAGCAGGTTAGGTGATGTGTTAAGCCTGCAGCATATGTGAGCTCCTAGATAATATTGTGATCCTAGGTAAACATGCCTGTGGTATGTGTTTGAAGTTTGAACAGTTTCCTCTCAGAGTTTGTCATGATGAGTCCACGACGAAAAGCCTTACCAATATGCCTCTCTTTTCAGCACGTAACAGTGTCTAGTTCAGAAGAAGGGTCACTGGACCTGAAATGTTACCTTTGCTTTCTCTCCACAAATACTGCCAGACTTGCTGAGTTTTTCCAACAATGTTTTTGTGTGTGTTTGTGTAAGAGTGCTTGTGTTTTTTTTCAAACTCAAGAATCAACCTATTAGGGACACTTGACAAAGCTGAGATGGAGTTAATGTGTTCATCTCTAATTATCAACTCAGTACAGGACAAAAATCTTTCTAAATTTATATTAAGGACTAAGATTTGGCACAATTTGAGAGATGGAAGAATTTCTGGAGGCCATTTTAATCTCAATAACTCTAATATTCAGTGTCAACTTAGATCACAGAATTGTTGGGCAAAATTGTATGTCTAAATCCAAGAATATTCAAGAATCCATAGAATCCCTACAGTGTGGAAGCAGGCCATTCAGCCTATTGAGTCCATACTGACCCTTTGAAAAGCATCCCAGCCAAATCCACCCCCTACCTTAACTCTGTAACCCTGCATTTCCCTTGACTAATCCACCTAGTTTGCGCATCCCTGGACACTGTGGGCAATTTAGTATGGCTAATCCACCTACACATCTTTGGTCTGTGGGAGGAAACCGGAACACCAAAGGAAAGCCACCCATTCAAAGTGAGTGAACATTGGCCAAAATTTAAACGGGCAAGATAAGACAATGTGCTTAAGCATGTAGAAGGCCAAAAACATTGTGTGAAACTAAGAGAAATGAGCAATGAACAAACATGCATACTTTGGAACTAGAAAACCAGATAAAATGATTTATAATTTGCATATGTCGTGTAAAAACCTTACGGAATTGAGAACTCACTGTACAACCAGTACTTCAGAAGTGGAACACGTCACCAGTTTTTCTACTCGCTGTTCTGATAACTCTGAACATTAAACATGTTATGCGTGATTGTCAATAAGATAGTTGTTGCCCACTGTTTGCAAATGTTTATGCATTTACGTTAGTGAGTGCAGCATTGTCTTGCAGCCTCCAGAAATTGAAGATTATTCTCCTGAAGACTGATTTATGCAAACTTGGAGAAAATTCATGGGATGTAGTGATAGTAATGAGGTCAGCCAGGTGGTCCTCATAGAATGAGTTCTTTGATTAGGGCTGTTAATCTGGTCCAATCAGGAAGCCCTGGCTGACAGATTAAAAAGAGGAGTGTCAAACATTCTGATAGTCTGAGAGCTGGCTTTGAGGTAGTTAGACTAGTGTTAAGGGATTGCCAAATAAAGGGTGCTGGTGTGACAGGATGTTGGCTTCTGTGAAGTTATTTCAGTGGTAACAAGAGAAAAGCATGTTACTGAAGAAACTTGCTTGTAGCAGTTGTCTTTGTGTTGGGATAAACATTTCTGGCATATGCTGTTATTTTGGAAGCTTAACTTGTTCAATCCTGCCATTGAAGACTGGGCCCAGTGTGAGAAGAATATTAACTTTTCCAGGCAAATGACATTGCTTTTATCTGTCCCAATGAGTAACACTCTTGACAGCTTGTGGGCCTGCAGTGTTTGTTGGGTTTTTTTTTTTTTTTGCTAGGGTCCTAACATTTCCTGATACAGCAGATACTAATGTCTTTCAAGAGTTGATGGATTTTGTTAAGAAATATTATGACACTAAGTCTCTTCTAATTCTGACATGCTATCACTTTTACTTAGGAAATAGAGAACCAGGGGAGTTTATATTGGGATTTCTTTTTGACTAGGTTAAGATAGCTGGCAGAGGCATGTGACCTTCATTTAACCTAAATGAGATGCTGAGAGACCTGTTGGTCTGTGGGATTAATGATGTAACCATGCAAAAGCAACTACTAGCTGAAGCCCAGCTGGGCTTCAAACAGGTGCTACAACTGACATCATCAGTGGAAAAAGTGGCAAGCATATGAGTTGCAGGGTACTTTGGAAACGGACACCCTGACCAGTCTGACTGAGCTTGGGAGCACCATTTGAGTGAAGGCAATGGTTTGGCCACACTCGGGACATAGCCTGAACAGTGGGATTCTAGGACAGCCCATAGCAAAACTCCAATGTAGCCGAGCCCTGGCCAAACGGTTAGAATTTTCTTCCGGCTCTGGGCCGGCAAGCCACTGCAGTTGCTGTCAGTATGTGGACTCGAGACAGCAAATGAGTCCTACTGGACCTAAATTGTGTAAGAGAACTCATAGAGTGCACACCCTGGGAAGTCCACCTTCATCCAGTTTGGAATAGTTAAATTGCTTAGTGACATCTAAGTCAGAAACAATCAAAATGAACGTATGTTAAATGGTCATCCAGTTCTAATGGAGATTGATACTGACACAAGTGTTTCAGCAATCATAGAAGTAGGCTTTGACAAATTTTGCTCTGGATTCTAACGCATCTATTTGTGCAAGATGTTGGCTAGACTGAGAACCTATACCAGGCATCCTTAACAGATTAAGAGTACAACTTCTTCAGTTCTGGTCTCATGAGAAGCAGCTGGTCTAGTTACCAGTGACTGCATTAAAAGGGTTGGGCCTAAGCTGATGGGGTGAAATTGGTTGGTAGAGATTCACCCAGATTGACTCAACATTTTTCAATTAGGAAATGGCTGCTTGGGTGCAGTTCTAATTAAAGAGTTGTAGTCTTTCAGGAAGGTCTAGGCATGACCAAAGGAGACAAGGCCAGCTTGCATGTTGACCTGGAAGAACTTCCTTGCAGAATTGTGGCTTGCCCAGTGCCTTGGGGCAAAAGTAGAGGCAGAAATTGGAAGGCTAGCAAGTGAAAAAAGTCATCAAACCAGTCCAAGTGCACGATGGGTAATACTGGTCATACTGATTTGTGAAGCCTAATGGGTTTCTTTGCTTAATGGTAAACCACTTTTTGCAGCTGGATAAATACCAATCCCTCATATAGAGGATTTATACGCAAAGCTGGTAGGAGGGCTGTCCTTCACGAAGCTGGACATGAGCCATGCATATTTGCAACTGCAGTTAAATGACAATTCCCAGATATGCTATAATTAATATCCATAAGGGTTTGTGCCAATATACAAGACTGCCATTTGGGTTATTGTCATCCTGTGCAATTTTTCAGTGGACAATGGAAAACATTTTGCAAGGTCTACCCAGGTCACAATTTATTGAGATGATTAGCTAATAACAGGAAAGACCAATAAGGAGCACTTAGAGAACTTGGACATGGTCCTTAGACGATTCCCCTAAGAAGGGAAAATGTGTGTTCCAGGCACTCCAAATGACCTACTTGTGCTACAGAATTGACAAGACCAGGAAGATAAAGTGAAGGTGATCAAAGATGCCCTAGCACCCACATCTGTACCAGAGCTTAGATCTTTCCTCGGGTTGGTGAATTATTATGGAACATTAATATGTAACCTGGCCTCCATCCTGGCACCTTTGCATCAACTCCTAAAAAAGAGTCAGCCTTGGAAGTGGTTGCGTAGCCAAGCCATAGCTTCAGGGTAATGAAGAAACCGCTATCATCCTCAAAGGTGTTGGCACACTGTGTCCCAAGTGAGATCTGGTTTTGACCTGCGATGTTTCCCCATATGGTATTGGGATAGTATTAGCTCATAGGTGGCCCAGTGGAGATGAACGTCCAATAGTGTATGCATCCAGGACTTTGGCTAACGCAGAGCGTAAATATGCCCAGATCAAAAAGGAGGGTTTGACGGCCATTTGGAGTCAGGATGTTCCACTAATACCTATATGGATGTAAATTTGTAATAATAAAGGACAACAAACCCCTGCTAGGGCTACTTAAAGAAGACAAGACAGTGCTGCTCATAGCTTCAGGCCAAATTCAGCGGTGGGCTCTAATTCCAAGTGCATATAATTACAACTTGGAACACTGTCTGGGAGGCCAAGCAGTGAACACTGATGCATTGAGCCGCCTCCCTCTGACAGATACTTCACCGGTGCTACCGCCACTGGAAGGGTCTATAATGGTTTTCAATTTTCTGGACATG